TGAGGTTTGTTTTTTCTTTATGGTTATAAAGCAACATTGTTATAAAGTGGTTGCCGGCAGCTATGTGCTTGTGGGTTTTTACTGCCGGCATAAAATAACCAGATATCCTCCACTATCTGCATGTTAATGAATCTCAGAAATGAATCCTGTTTGTCTTACAGAAGGAAGTTACCATTATACTAGGGTTGGGCGATGTCTACAAAATTGGCATCGGACGATGTCTACAGTGAAACATCGCGATGGACGATGACGGGGGGAGGGGTGTTCCCGAAGCGTGAATCCTTATAAGGGAAAACACGATTCCTAACACTGTTTCTACACCGGACACGAGCGGCGCGGTGCGACAAAATACTATAGAACCACTGATCTATAATAGAGATTTATTATATATAGATCAGTCTATAGAACTCATTATAATCAGTGATGCTGTCTACACTGGATGCGGCGCGACACGACAAATCCCTGACAGTAAACTGCTGCCGTGTTCTAATTATGACGTGCTGACACAAATTTCAAATGATTTTCAACGGTCGCTTTGTCGCATCCAGTGTAGACAGACTTTAGCTGATGCGGTGCGGCGTGACACGACAACTGTCGCGTCCGGTGTAGACACGGTGTAACGGTTGCCTGTTACATTAAAGTACATAAAATTTCGCTTACCACATAAACAGAGTAAGGGGAGATGACTGAGGACGATGGAGAATGATTTGCAAATCCTGTGCAAAAGTGTCATTTGTAATGTTACAAAGGGTTTCTATTTTTAATAAATGCTGTTCTTTTGAGCTTTCTATTCTTTCTATTCTCCTAAAAAAAGGTTTCCACAAAAATATTAAGCAGCACAACGGTTTTCAACATTTATAATGTTTCTTGGGCAGCAAATCAGCATTTTAGAATGATTTCTGAAGGATCATGTGACACTGAAGACTGGATTAATGATACTGAAAAATCAGCTTTGCACCACAGAAATAAATTGCATTTTAAAATGTCTTTAAATAAAAACAGTTCTTTTAAATTGTAATAATATTTCACAATATTACT